AGGGAGCTCTGGGAGAGGGAACAGGGAAAAACGGGAGCAGAGGAGCCAAGCAGGAATTCCCAAAGGCTGCAGGGATTGAAGGAGCACCTCCTGGAGGGAGAGGGAGAGGCAGGACTTGGATGATCCCTTATCCCAGAGGGATCCTGTCCTGTAGGAATTGTCCCCCAAGGGACCGTTTGTGGGCCCAGATTTGGGAAAGGGGGTGTGGATCACATTCCCAAATCCCATCCTGGTACTCTCCTCTCCCTTTCCGGGCTGGAATTGGGGGAATTTGTCCTGGCAGAGGAGCCAAGCAGGAATTCCCAAAGGCTGCAGGGATTGAAGGAGCACCTCCTGGAGGGAGAGGGAGAGGCAGGACTTGGATGATCCCTTATCCCAGAGGGATCCTGTCCTGTAGGAATTGTCCCCCAAGGGACCGTTTGTGGGCCCAGATTTGGGAAAGGGGGTGTGGATCACATTCCCAAATCCCAGCCTGGCTCCCTCCTCTCCCTTTCCAGGATGGAATTGGGGGAATTTGTCCTGGCAGAGGAGCCAACCAGGAATTCCCAAAGGTTGCAGGGATTGAAGGAGCAGCTCCTGGAGGGAGAGGGGGAGGCAGGACTTGGATGATCCCTTATCCCAGAGGGATCCTACCCTGCAGGAATTGTCCCCCAAGGTACCGTTTGTGGGCCCAGATTTGGGAAAGGGGGTGTGGATCACATTCCCAAATCCCAGCCTGGCATTCTCCTCTCCCTTTCCAGGATGGAATTGGGGGAATTTGTCCTGGCAGAGGAGCCAAGCAGGAATTCCCAAAGGCTGTAGGGATTGAAGGAGCAGCTCCAGCAGGGAGAGGGAGAGGCAGGACTTGGATAGTCCCTTATCCCAGAGGGATCCTGTCCTGCAGGAATGGCCCCAAAGACAAAATTTGGGACCAGATTTGGGAAAGGGGGTGTGGATCACATTCCCAAATCCCATCCTGGCACTCTCCTCTCCCTTTCCAGGGTGGAACTGGGGGAGTTTGTCCTCACACTGGGTTTTCCAGTGGGGAAATTATGGGATCACAGGATGGTTTGGGGTGGGAAGGACCTTAAGGATCATCCAGCCACACCCTCTGCCACGGGCAGGGACACGTCCCACTATCCCAGGTTGCTCCAAGGGATCCAGGGACACTTCCAGGGATCCAGGGAGTGTCCCCACAGAGCCAGGATGTTCCTACCTTGTCTCCCACAGGTCCATCCTCTCCCTTCTCTCCTTTGTCTCCGTCAAATCCCGGCAGTCCCTGTTCACCCTGGAAGGCAAGACGGGAATTATGGGATGGGCGCAGCGATCCCGGGAGGATCCCGTCGGATCCACCAACGGCAGGGAAGGAACAACTTCCAAAATCCACCAGGGACAAACTCACGGGATCTCCTTTGCTGCCTTTGTAGCCCTGAGGTCCAAAAATAGTCGTGGTGTCCCCCTGGAAAAAGGAGACACGGAGAGAGATGGACACGGGGGTGGGAATGCCCTTGGAATGCCGAGGGCGAAAGGGAGGGAATAAGCGGGAATTCCCACACGAACAAAAGCGTTTCCCAAACTCACCCACACGCCAGGCAAGGCACGAGCGCCCCAAAATGTTAATTGTTGGGATTAATCATCCTGAACTGAAAGATGGATGAGGAATGTGCACGGAAAACCGCGAGTCCCGGGGTCTGACGGCGACCTGTTATCCCGAAAAATGTTTGGGATCCGCTGGGATGGCCCCAGCCTGGTTCTCAGGGGTGGAAATGGAGCCGAGCACGGAGCCAGCTCCCGATTTGGGGCTGTCAGAGGTGGGAGAGATCCATGGATTTGGGGCCATCAGGGGTGGGACAGATCCATGGATTTGGGGCTGTCAGAGGTGAGACAGATCCATGGATTTGGGGCTGTCAAAAGTGGGAGAGATCCACAGATTTGTGGCTGCCAGAGGTGGGACAGATCCATGGATTTGGGGCTGTCAGAGGTGGGACGGATCCATGGATTTGGGGCTGTCAGAGGTGGGAGAGATCCATGGATTTGGGGCTGTCAGAGGTGGGACAGATCCATGGATTTGGGGCTGTCAGAGGTGGGAGAGATCCACAGATTTGGGGCTGCCAGAGGTGGGACAGATCCATGGATTTGGGGCTGTCAGAAGTGGGACAGATCCATGGATTTGGGGCTGTCAGAGGTGGGACAGATCCATGGATTTGGGGCTGTCAGAGGTGGGAGAGAACCATGGATTTGGGGCTGTCAGAGGTGGGACAGATCCACAGATTTGGGGCTGTCAGAGGTGGGATGGATCCATGGATTTGGGGCTGTCAGAGGTGGGACAGATCCATGGATTTAGGGCTGTCAGAGGTGGGAGAGATCCATG